CCCCCCCCCCCCCCCCCCGCCTGAGCTCTGCTGTAAACCATAACTAACATGATATCAATCTCATCCCTAGTGCTTTACATGTAAACGAAATAGTAGCAAGATCTGGACTTTAAGTAAACGGTTATATATCCGTTCAGAAACTAATTAATTGGAAGAAATTCATCAGAACAACCGTTGTATTGTTTAAATTTCTAAGGGCAAAAGCCACAAGGCATCATCGATCACCTAATGACTCGTTATCAAGAGCATCATTGATGACCTGCTTCTTTTCTATTTCCAAGTAATGGGCCCTGTCATTCATGCCTTGCTTCCCATATGCTTCTATCATAATAGAATATGTTTTGGTATCTGGCTGACGGTGTTTATTTTTCATTCGCTTAAATACTCTATCCATTTCCATTAGATCTTCAGCCTTAGCACACGCATATATAACTGCATTATAAAATGAGGTATTCTCTGGAATCTCGTATTTTCCTGCCAACTTAACTGAGCTAATTACCTTATGGAAGAGACCTGCATTGGCATATCCATTTATAAGGCAACAGAATGTCTTGGTGTCTGCTCGCATGCCCTCAGCACGCATCTGCTCAAATGTGTACTCCATGCTCGTTGCATCTCCCACGTCTGCAAAAGCTTCAATCACGTTGTTGTATGTCGAGGTCGTCCAAGGAAACTGCAGTTTGCGCATATATTCCATCACAGAACACATTTTATCATACATCCTTTTCTTCCCATAAGCACCAATCAAAATATTAAATGTACGAGTTTCTGGCTCAATACCAAAATTGCGAAATTTTTCATACCATCTTTCCATCATTTCAATCTGCCCCTCATTACCAAACACACCAAGAATTATATTCATTGTCCACACATCCGGTCTGCAAGTTGTGCTTTCAAGCATTCCTAAAAGAACTTTCTCCATCTGTTCATACTTCCCTATCTTGCCATACCCACTTAAGACTATGTTCTGGGTCACTGTATTTGGAGATATCAGTCGTTCTACCATTTCCTCGTACACGGATTCGACTAATTCAAAGCGAGAATCATCTACACATGCCTTGATCAAGGTGCTATAAGTGTAGACGTCAGGCTGGCAGTCAGGGAGGGTCTTCATCAGATTCAGAGTGGAGAACGCATCATCAATGAGATTGTTCCTACAATAAGCAGCAATCAAAGCAGTGTAAAGTTCAGAGGTAGCTTCACATCTTTCTTCAACCATTATGTCAAAAATCTGACGGGCACGATGTGGTTGGCCTGATTTTCCAAGTAGAACAATCAGCTTCATGTAAGTTCCTTCTTTTGGTTCATAAAACGGCTGTTCGCGGAGCATTTCAAACACCTAAACGGTTGAGTTAAAGCAACACAATAGTTAGAGGTGAAAACAATAGCACAAGAAGTTTATGCAGACTCATCAAATTATTTACACTTCATTCCTTGAAATTAGGGCACATGAAGACGAACGCTCATGTTTTCAATTCAACTTTGCAGAACATGTAACTAATCTCCCTGAAATCCCCAAGTATGTAGAGTTGAAATTAAAGAAGGGGGAAGCGACCTCAAGAGCTGGAAGCCAACGTTTGTTGGCGATATGGTCCGACAAGGCTTCAGTGACGGTATTGGCCCAAGCCTTGGCGTGGTTCTCGCGGTCTAATTTCCTTTTGACATTTTTGAGAGGAGTCTTCTTGGGGGCGGATGTCTGTGTAATGCCTGGAAATTCACCTTGCTTCCAGTGCGTCTTCTTAAAAGGTGAGGAAGAAGGAGAAGGAGGGGATTTTCTGGCGGGGGCTGCAAAAGCACAGCGAACAATGAGAGTATTGGAGTGTGGAGAAGGAACGATGGGGGAAAAGGAAACGAAGCCATGATCGATAGAAACAGAAGAAGGAAGGAGCGAGGAGGAGAAGGAGAAGGAGAAGGAGAAAGAAGCCATGGCTGCCATTATTCAACAAGGATGATGGAGCTTCCCACGGCTGCCAGAAGTGATGTGGATGAATTTAGTGGGATTCTAAATATAGATTAATTCACCAGACCAATTGCCCAACGGCTTTCTTTTTCATTATTATTATTTTAAATTTTTTGTAAGAATATACCATAAAATTGAACTGGTAACTCGTGGCTTTGGCATTGGCCATGGCATAGAGAAATAATGAGGATCCATCTCCACATTTGGTTTGTGTCCAAACAATAACAATTACCGCTTGCTTAACTTTCATCTCTCTCGTTTGGTAAACTGAAATGTCACTCCAATAGAAAAAGAGAAACTACACAACCTTTGGTCTTGTTTCCTCACATGTCCGAAACGCTTCCGCTCCCGCTTCCACTCTGAATTCCCTTTTCGCTTGTCTTCTACCTAAGTTAAAGCTCGCGTTACATTTACAAGTTACAACCTATGCTATACTAATCCGAGAAACTTAGGACCTCACTAAACAAGAGAAACTTAGGACCTCACTAAACAAGTCCATATCCTCCCTCCCCAATTATATTGACGTTTGAAAAATGCTTTATTGAAGCCATAATTTTAATGACATTTAAAATAGAACAAAATAAGAAGCAGTGGGCAGTGGGAGTGTAATTAAATGTGAAGTGTACATAAGAATGTTAGGAGGGTCAATTCCGCAAGACATGAATCACCTCATAAAGTAAAACATTTACAGGACCAGTGTCTTGAAATGAAACCAAAATCACAACCAAGCTATATGCACATCTCAGCCAAGAATAGATTGAATTGCATACAAGTAGAGCCACAGTGTCATGTCTCGACGCCTTCTTTAAGCAATAATTCACTCGAAATAGATATAACACAAACAAAGAAGGCATACATCTACCTAGAATAAGAATTTACTCGAAATGTTCAGGCGTCCTCAGATACAAAAGCCTCCTTGCAGGAGCTGGAGGTGCCAGTCCAGGAATATCCCTGATGTCTTTGTTGTTGGGGTTCACAATCTGAAAAGTTACACATATCAAACTTGTTATTACAAAACACACCAAATATTATCCATCATCTGGAACTGTTCTTTCAAGGTATAACAAAATAAACTGCAGAATTTACCTTCACTACGATAATGGCTATCACTCCACAGACAATGAGGAATAGAAACAGCATGATGCACTTATCCGTAGCAACCTTTCCAAAGGGGGAAGGGAGGGGTTAGTCCCACTAAGAAAACCAAAATCACGTTTTTCTTTCTTTTTATTTGTGGGGGGGAGGGGTGTCCCAGACACAAAACCAAAATTACCTGTCTCCCAATTTCTTTCACAAGCTGGGATGCTTTCTTAATCGAAAAATTAATTGTGTCAAGCTCATTTACTATGCGGCCCATTTGTTCAGTCTGGAAATTTAATGAGGAAAAGTTAAAAGAATACCCAGGAAATTCTACTAATCAGGCTAGACTCAGAATATACTTTTAACCATAAGGTATAATTTCAACGTTGAACATACTTGGCCTTTTAATGTAACAGCAGTTTGAGTTCCCACTTCAATAGTTTGTTCGACCACCTACGGGTCAAAGCTAAGCATTAGAACAAAGGGGATACAAATGATAAAATCACACGTTTCAGGTAGTTCTTCACCTTTTGAGTACGTTCAATAGCCTGATCCGTCTCATCCATTGTCTTCTTCCCAGCGTCTATAAGCTCTTGATTTGTCATTGCTACAGCACAAAGGCATGCCAATCGAATGAGAAAAATAGATACTGTGTAGAATTCCAAGCACATAAAATAAGAAGCTTGCTGCCGGGTGAGGCAGATTTTCATAACCTCATTCATCACCACATGAGCGTTAGCCTCGCATAAAAAAAATGATAAGAACCTTGCTTTAAAAACATTCTTAAATTATAAGCTTAATTCAACAGTTGTTTCTTTAACAGGAAAGTCCTAGAGGAATTTCTTCCCTTTGGAGTAGATATCAGCAGTCCCTCCCCTATAGGCAACCAGGGAATTTTTCTATGAATGCCTACAGATACGGAAAATATAGCTTACATGAGGCCATCCGAACATTATCATCAGCTGTAGGTTCACTTACACCTCCCTCATCAAATAACTCAACCCTTTTATTACCAAGACTATTCATGTACCTGTAATTCATTGAGCAATAAAACATTAGAAACTCACACCAATTTGATTCCAATATACTGAGAGCAAACCATTGAATATGCTGAAGTATGTGAACCACGTTCAGTCATTTGAAAAAAGGGAACTAATGATTCCAGTGGCTGGGCAATATTTTTTAAATATGAGAAACCATATGTTTCATTGTGAAAAAAAATAATAATAAAAGAAGTGACTTCACAACATTAGCATGAGATCAAAATCTAACTGACTCGGTTGTTATACCTTTATTCTTTTTCTAATAGGCAACACTTGTCATTAATACAGTGAACAGGTTTGACCAATGTTATGATTCGGCACTCCCCTATTGGAGAAAAACAAGAACACCTCCAATAAGTAAATTAGAAGGGGAAATCAATTACAAAGGCAAGTATAACAAGCAACTAGGATCTGACACCCACCCCTCTTCATTTGCTTTTATTTTGTCATCTGACAGCTACTTCCGCTATCAAAATAGAATCAATAATTTATGACACATCATTCCCATAGAAAAACAAGATACTAGAACATAAATAAGAGATTAAAAAAATTGATTTCTCATGCTTAGATTTGTAAAGAAAAGATACATATATATATATATTGAAGCATTCACTAATATATGAATCAAAAGGTACTACCATTTTTCAATTGGAAAACCAAACTTCCAGTGACTATCCAATATGTACAAAATTAGGAAGAGTTGGAATCAAGGTAGTGGATATATTCTGCACCACATCCTAGAAATTGAAACAGAAATATTTTCCCAAGAGGGAAAATTTGTTTCTTACCCATTACTTCCATTCTCAGGCAAGAATTACTCCCCCCCCCCCCCCCCCCCCCCCC